AGAATTTGTGTGCCACCACCGCGGTGCACGGTTCAGTTCTTTGCCAGTGACATTGACAGTAGAACGATTGGAGGATGTCTGACATTTCATTTTGCGTCATTTGTTGTATTTCATTCTTGTCGCCACTCATGACTCCAATTTGTGTTTAGACCTAGCTGCCTAGCTTGAGCCACACCTGGTGCTGAGGAAGGACAAAACCCACACGGTTCACATGCGAAACCGCTGGTTGGGCATCAACCGAAACTCCCAGATGGAAGTGCATTTGGCGACAGTTCGGTCAGCTATACCACACCGAGCGGACCGCAGGGGGGGGAATTCGGTCTGATGCTTTTTCGATACTTTTATCATTTCGGATTTGGTTGGCAGTGCCGATGCGTTCTCCAAACTAGTCTACACAGGATGCAGATTTGGGCATATTTATTTGTCAAGGCTGCTGTTTTTGAGCAAACCAGCATACACGATTCGGCTTTGGGTCAAAACCAGGATACCTTGGTTGACCTCCCCATTTGAGCATTTTGGCTGGGAGTTTGCAAGTAGCCAAGGCCCAAGCCTGGGTCCACTTGTTGGGTACATTCTAGCAAAGCTGTTGAGTGAAGTCGTTCTCTTTGAGCATTGCATGTGGGAGTCATTGGATACTCAAGGCTTAAGTCACTTAAGTCCATTGTTTGCAGACTATTGATGAAATGTCCTCACATAGACCATCTTCCTGAACATTCTTCACAGTGTTCACTATATTATCTATAATGTTGGATGCTGATTAGTAATAGGGCCCTGAATAATGCAAAATTTTTGAACAAACATCTTGACATCATCTTTGTTTTAAGGGTTCTCTATTATGCTATTTTTTTGTGGGGAACCTATCTTTTTTATAATCTGAAAAATGAGATGTTCAAACCTGCGGAGATCTGTGAATACTACTAATCCAATAGCTGGCTTGCTGAGAGATTTATGGTAATCATAGGTTTCTTTGGTTCTTCAAAACTCACAGCTTCCCAAACCCATCAATTCCATAATCAAACCTTTGTATAAAGATTGCTCCTAAATAAAATTCAAGGTAATAGACCAGGAAGGCCCCTGATCCTCAATAATAAATTTGTTTTAAGGGTTCTCAATTGTGCAAAGTTAGATCTCAATACTACTAAGCCAATGGCTGGCTTGCTGAGAGTATTATTGCTGAAGATCTGAGACTGCAAAGGAAAAGGATTGCTGAGAATATCTAATGACAAAGAACCTCAGAGAGGAACATGAATACTACAATCAATTACAAAAGGACTCCTCCTAGGAACCCAGATTTGTTTCGGTGGTAGTCTATTATAGAGGATCCTCCATTTGTTTGAGGGGACCCCCCTTTACTAATCAAGATCCAGCATTATTGGATATTTTGGCGATCAGACACAATTATGTTTTTGTATTGCAGAATTTCACTCATTGTCATTGTCGCAGTCTTTCATGCGCCAGCAGGATTGGATTTTCATTCCACCGACGGTGCTGGACGGTGTTGGTCTTGATGCGTCGACAGGCTCCCACAACTTGATTCTAGCAGCAACATTGAAGAACACTCACATTTGCCAATCGTTGCATTTTGGGGCGATATTAGAGAAGCGATTGCGATCCATGCATCTCTGTAGCACATAGATTCACCAGCTTTTGAACTATATGATCAATGCATATCAATGATCTGTAACATAGGATAGGCCAGATGATAGTCAAAACTGTGCAACTGTTTGACTATGTAATTAATGGCATTTGTTGATTTAGACAATTAGTTGTTGTTTGCCACAGCTACGAGACAGGTCAATGGGACTTGCATGCAGACTTGCAGTTGATGGACACCATAAGTGGGGCGCTTGCAACTGGCGGCCATATTATTTTGAGCATCATGGCGACCTGTTTGATTTACGGCGCTCGTGGCATCCTCCTAGATTGTCTACGAGTCTACTACACTATACAATTACTGTATTGTGAATTACTTGTGCCTGCTACTGAACTCAAGAAGTACTGCGCATGCTTCCAGTGGTAAGGCTCTCTAAGTTGACATTACAAAATATTTTTTTTGTGAAAGGATACCACATCTTCTTCCCATAATATAGCGTCCACGAGTTGCCATCCTCTGCCGGAATTCTATTGTGGGCCACTGTACTTGTAGAATTCTTACGAGAGAGTTGAGTAGTCTCTGCATTATGACTGTCCTGTTTGCTGGTAAACTCGGTCCCCCCTAGCAAATTAGGGAGAGTGAATGGAGTCAACCCCATCAAGACAATCTACTGTAGCTGTAGTAGCAGTAGTAGTAGTAGTAGTCGTAGTGGTAGTAGTCGTAGTAGTCGTAGTAGTAGTAGTAGTAGTAGTTGTAGTAGTAGTCGTAGTAGTAGTAGTTGTTGTAGTAGTAGTAGTAAGTATAAGTAGTAGTAGTAGTAGTAGTAGTAGTAGTAGTAGTAGTAGTAGTAACTAGTAGTAGTAGTAGTAGTACTACTACTAGAAATTAGTAGTAGTATTTTTTTACTAGTAGTAGTAGTAGTCTTAGTAGTAGTAGTAGTAGTTGTAGTAGTAGTAGTATTAGTATTAGTATTAGTAATTAGTAATTAGTAATTAGTATTAGTAATTAGTAGTAGTAAATAATTCGTAGTATTTTATAGTTAGTAGTGATATTTAATTAGTAGTAGTATATAGTTAGTAGTAGGATATAATTAGTAGTAGGATTTAAGTAGTAGTAGTAGTAGTAGTAGTAGTAGTAGTAGTAGTAGTAGT